AGACAGGAGACAGCCCTGGATTGTGGTCTTCTCCTGAGTGAGTAGGTGGGGGGTTAAGGGATCATCGTGGGAGAGCTGTGGGGTCAGCTGAGGCAGTGGTCCCCTAGGGGAATGTGTGAAGAACTTGAGTAACTTTGTTCCAGGGGCATCCCAAATAGGCCCAGGCTGCTGGGGATATGTGCCTGAGCCTGGCCTGGGGGCCCAGTGGTGCGATTCCAAGAAGGGGCTCGCTGATCATCCAAACTCACTGTGCTTACATCCCCAACTCCCTCCTCCCACCCTAGTAGAAGCCTCAGGTGTATGACTGCCCTTGGTGCCCCTTCCCTGTGATGGATACATACCGATTCCCAGGCCAAGCCCTTGTCAGAGGTAGCTGGGCCTGGGACGCTTTCTCTACCACTCCAAGCTTCTGGAAGTTTTCTGCAAGGAGACAGATGTGGTGGACAGCATTGTCCACAGCACAGCATGTACCTATGGGAAGGAGGGGTCAGTGCCTGGATGAGGGGACTCAAGGGACTTCAAGACCCTCAGCTAAGGGGTGGTGAGCACAGCAGTGGGTCTGAGAATACAGTCATAAGCCTCATGCAGTGTGGGTCTCTTGGGAAGTTGAGGGGAACAGAGGGTGGTTCTGCGCCTAGGCACAGAGCCAGGCTGTATTTGAGCTTGACAGAGCCTTAGGTTTACCTCGAGGGGCCCAGACTGGTGTGAGGGGCTGTAACAGGCTGGCTCCCCGCAGGGGAACATCAAGTATGCAGGAGGGGGAGGACCCCACAGGAAGTGCCTAACCTATGTAGATTCCTTCCAACCCAGGACCAATCAGAGGGTCAGGGTCTGGAATGGACACTTGTTCATCCCTGGGGACCTTGCCCTGTTTCCCTGCACCATCGTATACTACCAGGTCCAGACCACACAGTACTAGAACTGTATTAGCCAAACTCTCTCGCCAGACTGCACATTTGGAGGGCTTCCCTGTCTTGTTCTTTGATTGAGTGCCTGGAACATGGTTGATGTTTTTGTAGACCCCACTGAATATCTGCAGTGATGGGTATCAGTCTGTTAGGCACCTATTTTCTTTCCTCCCTACTCTAACATGCCTATGAGGCAGTGCTGTTATCCCATTTCCCAGAGAAGAAAACCGAGGCTCCCAGAGGCTAAACAGTTTGCCCAATGCCTCCGCTCGACTTGCCTCTCTGTCCTGGCTCAGTGGCACTCTTTTTCCTTCTTGTTTCCCTGAAGCCTGTGGCTCTGGCCTGCCCAACAGGGGTGGGGGCTCTGAAGCTGTTCCTCTTGCACTTAACCCTTACCCTAGAGCTCTCTGAGTTGCTTCTTTCTCCTTCAGCCTGGTAATCCCCTGAGGAGCTTGTAAAAGAGCCCCAAGACCAGGCTTGTCCTGGGCAATGCTGCAGCAGGGGTTGGGGCAGGTAGCAAGTCTGCATAGGGATTCTGATGACCTGTCGGGTTTGGGAACCACTGTGCATTGAGGTGTGGCATTGGCCAATGATGTTTCTCCACCAACTCAAGTGTGACATGACTTCATACTAGAGAAGGGGCGGGGCAGAAGGCTGAGATGGGGGAGGAATCCACTACCTGGAGGGGTGCCAGTTTGATGGGATTCTGTTCTTGTGGCCCCTGGCTTCATGGGCCTGGTCCTGACAACTTTGGGATAAGTGTGCCTCACTGGCATCCAGGAAGTGCCCACCACAACTCTGCCCTCTCAGGTTGTCTGAGGCTGACTGCAGCCTTGTGCTGCCTGGATTCAGAGGGGCAGGACCAGGAAAACAGCCCTATCCTTTACAGCTGAGTCTCAGGGGGTAACACTTCCCCAGGGTCCTCCTGTAGAGGAGTACGGCCAGGGGCCCAGTGCTCCCTGCCGTCAGAGTGCTGTGCCCGATTGGGACTGTGTCTTTAAGACCATGTTTTGCTAAGGTTGAATTATGCTACTGTCTACCATTCCCCAGCCTCTGAGAGACTCCCTGACCTTCCTAGGTGAGATCCTGATTCCTCCCAGAATGGAAGTGTGTGTGTGTGTGTGTGTGTGTGTGTGTGTGTGTGTGTGTGTGTGCGTGCATGCTGAGGGCAGAAAATGAAGAGGTCCCAGAAACTCCAGGGTCAGAGCTGGTGTAAACCTTGACTTGGTAGTTGGAGCCAGGTTTGAATCTACTTCCGTGCTGTTTAACATTTAACTTTCTCTAGTTGGCATAGTGGCCTTTGGTGGCCATGAGGTTTGTTTTCTGGTGTGTGTGTGTGTGTGTGTGTGTGTGTGTGTGTGTGTGTGTGTCTTTTTGACGGGGTCTCCCTGTAGCCCAAGCTAGCCTGGAACTCACTATGTAGACCAGGCTGGCCTTGAACTCACAGAGATCCACCTGTCTCTCCTCCCGAGTGCTGGGATTAAAAATGTTTTTAATTCCAAGGGTGCTGAGTCTATGGTTGGACTTGAATTCTAGCCACATCCAGACAGCTGCAGACTGTTTTAATTTTTTGGCCCCAGATTTTGGGATCTTCTTTGCCCATATTTGGGGTCAGGTGTTGGTACTGGGTTCCTTCTCCCAGGTCTGGACCCCCAAACACATGTATCAGCTCTGTTCTTATTAGGCAAGAGGCTAGCTCCGGGAGGAACTGACCAACAGACCCCCAAAGATAATCTTGTTGCCCTTTCCCCTAATAAACTTTTCAGCTTTAGGGGTACTTGAACCCTTACACATATTCTTTTTTTTTTTTTTTTTGAGACAGGATGGACCCAGCTAGCCTTGAACTTGCTGTGTAGACCACCAGGCTGGCCTTGATCTCACAGAGATCTGTCTCCCTCTGCCTCCTGAGTGCTGGGATTAAAGGTGTACTGCCATCAGGCCTGTCTCGATACAGTCTTACATCTCACACATCGATGTACAGCAGGCTAAATTCTGGGAAAAAGCATGAAGAAAGCATGCCCTTTTCCTAGCAGAGCCCACCCTAGGGACAGCACGAGGGGGTGACATCAGGGAGGAGTGTCAGCCCTGTACCTGCCGGGGCGGAGGATGTTGCCGATCAGCTCAGTCTGCTCTTTTCTAAAGTGTACATTCTTACTTCTTACCTCGATTGAATTACACTCTTGACTGCTTGATCTACTGTGCCCCAACTGAATTCTTTTCTTTCTGGAGCCCAAGACCCAAGATTGCTGCTGGGGTGAAGACTAGAGGAAAACTAGAGGCCTCCCCAGAACACGGTCACCTCTGGGCTGAGTGGCCAATTGGCCTGAATGAGACGTGGTGGCAACACACAGATTTTCCTGCTCCAGCACAGACTTCAGGTTCAGGCAAGACTCTTTGGGCTCCTGTCACTTCAAAAGAGGTGTGACAGCGACAGTCTAGCACCGTGGGTATTGCCCATGGTATCCAAAAGGCTGTCTTTGGGCTTACACCCTATCCTTCCCCTCAGACCAAGGCTGTGACTACTGTGGGCACTGCTCTTGCCAGGCACTATGGGGATGTGGGTAAGAACTGGACTTACCTGGCTCCTGCCTGCAAGGCATCATGGGAGCGTGTTGAGTTCTGGCTTCGTGGCTGTAGGCCAAGTGACTTTGAGTGAATCTCTACCTCTCTCTGGTTCTTCCTCAGTCCTCCTCACTTACAAGGTTGTCAAGGATTGAGAAAAAGATGTGAATTTGGGAGATGCAGAGAGAGAGGGTCAGGATGGTTTGGAGAATCCACAAGCAGGGTCTTGGGGACCCACTTGGCCTCCTGTGTCTCCACTCCCTCCTGTGGAGAATCCTGGTGGGAATACTCACCACAGACCTGCTTCTTGGAACTGTGTAGGTACTCTGTGTGATTCCTGAGCAGGGCAAGGGTCCAGAGAGCCCTCTGAGTACCCCACTGAATGAACAAAGTCATCAACCCAAGCCTGGAACTATGGCCATGGGCAAAATGGTTTCCACATGGGGACTCTGAGGCCCATGGAGGAGCCAAGGGGTCACATACAAACTAGGAGCAGGATTGGGATTCCTTCTGACTATAGACCACAGGGGGTGCCCCCCAGCAGGCGAGGGCAGGAGGTAGCATGGAGGAACTGTGTGCTGAAAGCAGGTGCTGTGTAGGTGTAGGGCCTCATGTGGTGGACCTGTGTGTGAAGATGGGTGTAAGGGACAGTTAGGCTGCAAAGGGAGGCTGAGGAGGCAGGCCATCGGGATGGGGTCCATAAGGCATACTTCTTTGTGACTGGGATGTGTCTTGAAAGAACTGAGCCCCAGGGGCAGCATGTGAGAGGCAGGGCAGGTGTGTGGCTGCTTAGGGTGTGGTTGCCATGGTGCATGCCACTCCTGGACCTCCTGGTGTCTCAAAGGCAGCCTCCGAATCCAAATTAGAACCTGAGGGAAAGAGAATCCTTTGATTTTTAGAACTAGAAAGAACTGCAGTTACCTAGCCTAGACTTGCCTCTGTTGGGGGAAGCAGGCACAGAGAGGGGAGGTGAAGGGCCTCAGGTTCCACAGTGAGCAGAGCTGAGTGCAGCCACCAGCCCAGTTCTTGTTCACAGCATGGCATCCTGAGACAGCCTGGGATGATACTGCTGAGGGGCATCACTGAGGGATGTTTCACACTGTGGGACAGGGAGGTCTGACTAGCTGACTCACTGCCTGGGGACGCAGCTGTCACAAAGGTGCCTGTTCCAAGGCCTCACTGTTGCTGTCCCCTCAGGCTCCAGGAACCAGAGCTGATTCCTGGCTACTTAGCCTGAGTCACTTCTGACTCCAGTTTGTGTTTTTCTCTCAGCCCCACACCCCCAGAGCTGGGTGGGAACTCTGAGCCGGCACATAGAGGAGTGTGTCCACCCTGAGCTGAATAATCCAGAGTAGGGAGTTGGACAGGACAGAGTGACGAAATTCGGAGGGGAACCCAGAGTCAGCAGTTGGAGGGCCCCGCCTTCCCCAGGTGCATATAAAGGATCCTGGTGTCTGAGGCATCCACAGCATCCTCTCTAGCCTCTCTGAGCAGCTCTGTCTTCTCTCTGCTGACTCGCTGACTCGCTCACCTCCCTCGGCAACATGACCACCTGCAGCCGCCAGTTCACCTCCTCTAGCTCCATGAAGGGCTCCTGTGGCATCGGTGGTGGCTCCAGCCGCATCTCCTCTGTCCTGACGGGAGGATCCTGCCGGGCCCCCAGTGCCTACGGAGGCCTGTCGGTCACCTCCTCCCGCTTCTCCTCTGGGGGAGCCTGTGGAATCGGGGGTGGCTATGGCGGTGGCTTCAGCAGCAGCAGCAGCAGCTTTGGTGTGGGTCTCGGTAGTGGTTTTGGAGGTGCTGGTTTTGGAGGAGGATTTGGTGGTGCTGGCTTCGGCAGTGGCTTTGGTGGTGGCTTTGGTGGTGATGGGCTCCTGGTGGGTAGTGAAAAAGTGACCATGCAGAACCTCAATGACCGGTTGGCCACCTACCTGGACAAGGTGCGTGCCCTGGAGGAGGCCAACACTGACCTGGAGGTCAAGATTCGTGACTGGTACCAGAGGCAGCGGCCCACTGAGATCAAGGACTACAGCCCCTACTTCAGGACCATTGAGGAACTGAAGAGCAAGGTGGGTGACTCTGGTGGATGGAATGTTGAGCAGTCAGGGCTACAGTGGCCAGGAAACCATTTCTAGAGTGTCCATTTTACAAGCAAGAAGACTGAAGGATGATCTTTGGGCGTAATGGTCAAAGTTGCCCAGAGAAGTGGTAGCTGAGGGTCCCTTTTTAGAATCCTTGCCTCAGCTGCAACTGGGACCCTGGCTTTTATTCCTTGCAAGGGTACTTTGTATGGCATGTTCAGATCTTTAGATCTAGGCTAAAGGATAAGGCTAAGGGTGGTGGAAGACGTGGGTGCACCCCTACATACCCTGAGCTGGCTGTAGAATTCATTAGCTTGTCTGGGGAAGTAGAGGACCTAACCTGCAATCCAGATGACCACCAGGTTTGGGGAGGCTCCCCCCCCCCGCCGGGACCTCGGCTGATCAGGCCTCCTACCTTTTCATCCCCACTCTAGATCATTGCGGCCACTCTGGAGAATGCACAGCCTATTCTGCAGATCGATAATGCCAGGCTGGCAGCTGATGACTTCAGGACCAAGTGAGCAGCCAGCATGTTGGGGTTGAAGGCTCAGGGGAGGGGATGAAAGAATAGAACTATCCATCTAGGAGGGCCATCACATCTTCATCCTTAGAGACCTCAAGGATGGTGCCTGAAGGTCTGACCTCTGTCCTGCCAGGTATGAGCATGAGCTGGCCCTGCGCCAGACTGTGGAGGCCGACATCAATGGTCTGCGCAGAGTGCTCGACGAGCTGACCTTGGCCAGGACTGACCTGGAGATGCAGATCGAAAGTCTCAAGGAAGAGCTGGCTTACCTGAAGAAGAACCATGAGGAGGTGAGGCTGTGGCTGGCTTTGGATGGAGGGCTGGTTTAGCAGGGCTTCCAGGAGAGGGGTCCACCGATCTGACCGCCCATTTCTGTTCTTTTCTAGGAGATGCTTGCCCTGCGGGGTCAGACTGGTGGGGATGTCAATGTGGAGATGGACGCAGCCCCTGGAGTGGACCTGAGCCGCATCCTGAATGAGATGCGTGACCAGTATGAACAGATGGCGGAAAAGAACCGCAGAGACGCGGAGGCCTGGTTCCTGAGCAAGGTGAGGTTTACCTCCTCCACACGCCTGTGGAATTCTTGGTCAAGGAGGCGCTCAAGAACCTTACACCTTCTCCTTTCTCCTGTCTCAGACTGAGGAGCTGAACAAGGAAGTAGCCTCTAACAGTGAACTGATACAGAGTGGCCGCAGTGAGGTGTCTGAACTCCGCAGAGTGTTCCAGGGCTTGGAGATTGAACTGCAGTCCCAGCTCAGCATGGTATGAAGGATCTGTCTGTCCCCACTAGCATCCCCAAGTCACCTGCAGTGGCCACCATCCCCCAACAAGGCCACAATCCAGTTCCACTTTTCTGGAGAATGGGACTGGAAGAATCATGGTGCCCATTGCAGAGATAAGAGGATAGGAAAGAGAAAAGTCAGGAAAACTTTTCTCCATATTGTCTAGTCCAATCACTACCCCACCTGGGTCAAGATTCAGGCACCTATCAGGAAGTGCGCCTAGAGACAGAAGTAACATACCACTGTTTTTTTCTCTCTCTCACACTCACAGAAAGCATCCTTGGAGAACAGCCTAGAAGAGACCAAAGGCAGATACTGCATGCAGCTGTCCCAGATACAGGGGCTGATCAGCAATGTGGAAGAGCAGCTGGCTCAATTGCGTTGTGAGATGGAACAGCAGAGCCAGGAGTACAACATCCTGTTGGATGTGAAGACACGACTGGAGCAGGAGATTGCCACCTACCGCCGTCTGCTGGATGGCGAGGATGCCCAGTGAGTTGACCCTTAGTCCCTCCTCACAGCCCCTCTGCCCCTGCTGCTCCCAACACATCTAATGCTCCCTTCTCTCCTCTGCCCAGCATCTCTTCCTCTCAGCACTCATCTGGCCAGTCCTATTCTTCCCATGAAGGTAAGGCTTCTGGCGTTCCTGAGACCATGTCCCATAGCCTGACTCTGTGGGCTGTGGGCCAAGCTCCCCGCTGCAGAGTTCTGGGCTTCCCTTCCCCAACCTGGCAGCTTGCTTAGCTCCCAGAGCCCATCTCAACCCTTTTTTTCTTCTCCTGCAGTCTTCTCATCGTCCTCCCGCCAGCCCCGGTCCATCCTCAAGGAGCAGGGCTCGTCCAGCTTCAGCCAGAGCCAGAGCCAGAGCTCCAGGAACTAATCTGCCTTTTCCAGAGCTTCCTGGCCCAAGCCTTCAAATCCTGTTCTAGTGCAGCCCCCAGCTGTCTCCCTTCCCCTCCGCTGGTGGTGGGCTAATAAAGCTGACTTTCTGGTTGATGCAAACTTGTGTGTGATCTCCATGTTTGATTTGATGGGAGAGGAGTTGAAGGGTCTCCCAGGGACGTTCCTGTGGTCTCCAAACTTAAAGAAGTACAGAATAAAGTGCATTCAAAAGAGCTTGCAGTCTTCCAGAAGTTTTCCATGCCATCAGGTGGTAGTTGGGAGGACACAAGGAGTGAAGATGTTCATAGGGTTCTTTAATTGTCTTCCCCTAGGAACCCTATGAGGCGGGTGTAATTAGGCCCATTTAGGGGTTGGAAACCCCTGGGATTCAAGGAGGTTCTTGGACTTGCTTAACACAAGAAGTAGCTTTGAAGTTCTACTCTAGGTTTTCTGTCTGGCTACAGTCATGTCTTTCTGTTAAGACCACTCTACCTGTTCATATATTTTTCCCCAAAGACTCCTAAGTTTGAGCTCTGAACTCCTGAATTGCCTACACACACACACACACACACACACACACACGGTGATTTTGCTGCTGAAGGAAAGGCAGAGCCTTGAGATTGGAGCCATAGTCAGAGCTGAAATCTCTCCTCCCCTCCCTGCCCTTCCTCCTCACCCTATTCGCTGAATGCTGAATACTTCCTCTGAATGCTGATGAGTCTCCTGGGAAATGCCTGCTACCCATGCCCTCCTCCCCATCTCTACCCATGCCCTCCTCCCCATCTCTACCCATGCCCTCCTCCCCATCTCTACCCATGCCCTCCTCCCCATCTCTACCCATGTCCACTGCCACCAACATATCTGGAGTCTCTCCCCCCTCTCTCTCAGGAACTAGGCTCAGGTATCTCTTTCCATCCGTCTCTCCTATTCCCAGTTCCTACTAGATGACCCTTCTTACAAGAATAAGGGCCAGGTCAGGAACAAGGAGGCCAGGACTTCCCTGTTTAAGAACCCCTGATGGTTTCTTTCCTTCCAGCACTCAGCCCTTCCCCATACAGCTCCCATGAGTCAACGCTTCCTAATTGCATGGTCCACACCTCTCAGGCGCCGTTCCTTTTTTCTGGATGCTTTCCAGAATTTAAAAGAAAAAAAAAAATACGTGCGTATAGTATCATAACGTGTGTTCATGCGTGTGTGTGCCTGTGTGTGTGAAGAGCCATTCCCGAGCTGGATCTGACTCTGCCTTTTCTACCTCCCACTTTGGACTTAAGTTGTTTCTTTTGGCATTTGCGTCCTTACTTCTAAATACCAATCTTCTACCTTCTCCTTCTGTCTCTTTTTATTTAGCTTCAGTTTTTAATCATTTGGCTTCCTGTTCTGGCTGAAGGATGAGGATTTAGTTCTCTTATTGAGACCTAAATGCTCTTATACAGCATTGATCGTCCCCACAAGTCCTTTCTTTTCCATCTTCTCACTTTCTGAATATATTCCCAGTTTTGGTTAATTAAGTGTTTACATTATTATGACTAGTATTCACAGTCAAACCATATTTTATAGTATATTAAATTTCCTTGGAATAAACACTATTTCTTTTTCAATCTCTTAAGTTTTCTGTGTACCTGTCATTCATTTATTCCCTAATTCAGTGTTGGAAGTATGCATCCTCTTCGTGTGTTAACATCCTGGGACTTCCGTCAGTTTCATCTTGAAGATGTCTTGCCTGAGGTCTTCTGTTCTGCTCCAGACTGTTCTGGATCCTCTCTGGGCTTGTTGCCCAGGTGGAATATCCCTTCATCTGTCTTCATATCCATCCATTGCTTTCTGGATCTCTCTGTTTCCCCTGTCTCTCTCCATTTTAGGAAGGCCCACCTTCCAGCTGATTCCCAGGGGGTTAACTTTCTTTTTCTTTTACTTCTCATGTCTGGAAGGATCTTCAGTTTGCTTTTGCTCTCAGGGATAGTTTGGCTGGGCACGGGATTCTAGGTTGGACATTGTTTTTCTTCAGCTTCTGAGGGTGCTGGCCACCACAGCTCCTGGTGTTGCCATGGAGAAGTCTCATGCCGCTTTGGTTGTAGATCGTTTGTACTGTCTGCTCCCGCTCCTTTCACTGGAAGCTCTGGAGTTCTTTTCGTTTTCTAGCAGCCTGGACTAGCATCAAAGTGGTTCCTTGAGGCAGCCATGTCTTCCCCCATCCGACATGGCATTAGCAGAAACTTCTAGCACGGGAACTCAAGTTTTCTTAAAAATATTTTATTATTATTTTTAATTTTTTATGTGTATGAGTGTATTGCCTGTATGTGTGTAAGTACACCCGTGTTGTGCAATGCCCTTGGAGGTCAAAAGAGGCTGTTGGATCTCCTGAAACTGGAGTTACAGGACGGTTGTTAGCCACCATGTGGGTGCTAGGAATTGAACCTGGGTCCTCTGCAAGAGCAGCCAGTGCTCTTGACTGCTGAACCATCTCTCCAGCCCTGGGAACTTAAGTTTTAAAGTTCTGAAAAATTGTCTTTTAAAAAATATTTATTTTTTTAATTATTTTTATTTTATGTGTATGAGTGTATTGTCTGTATGTATGCCAGTGTACCCTTGTCATACAATGCCCACAAGGTCAAAAGAAGGTGTCAGATCTCCCAGAGTTGGAGTTACAGATAGTTGTTAGCTACCATGTGGGTGCTGGGAATTGAACCTGGGTCCTCTGCAAGAGCAGTTAGTGCTCTTAACCACTGAGCCATCTCTCCAGCCCCAAACTCTCTTATAGTATAGCTTCCTTTATCTATTTTCTCCCTTTAAGAAACTTTTTTTTTTGAGAGAAGGTTTCCCTGTAGCCCCAGCTGGCCTGAAACTTGCTATATAGACCAGGTTAGCCTCGATCTTGCAGAGATCTGCTTGTCTCTGCTTCCCCAAGTGTTGGAATTAAAGGTGTGTACCACCATGCCAGGCCTAGGAACCCTTCCTTTCAATGTATATTCAATTCCATCTTATTTTCCATTTAACTTGTCTTTTTTTTTTCTACTTTTCTAGAAATTTCCCTAACTTTTCCATCAAAATCTTTTATATTTGGGAATATGCTGTATTTTTTAAACATTCCATGGATCTGAATAATTAGCTCTTTCAATGGAGTGCCCCAGATATCATATCGGGAGGTCATTTTTTCTTGAGAAGGGTCTTTCTTAGAAAGGATGGCTCCCTCAGAAATGATGCCTCTGATTTCCTGCCTGAATTGTGAAAGCTACCAGCTTTCTGGAAGATGTGTGGGAGCAGGTAAGCTGGGAAGGCCTCAGTCTCGGTTAACTTTGAATTTTCTGACTGATCATTCAGTGTGTTACCCCTGTTCTTGGCCCTGATTGATGTCTTCAGTTCAGAGTCACTTGGGTGGCGGATGGGGTGGGGTGGGGTAGTGGTGGGGGTGGTTGGGGGGTGTTACTTCCTCTAGAGTAAACTTCCAGTTTCTTCTGGTCTAAAAGAAGTATGATTGACAGATACCAGACACACAGGAGGGAGGAACTACAGAGATCTCCTGACTTTTGAGAAAAACTTCTAACCCATCTGCCTGTTTCTTTGAGACAAGGGCTTGCCATGTATCCCAGGCTAGCTCTGAACTTGTGATCCTCCTGCCTCAGCTTCCTGGATGTAGGATTGCATGCGTGTACCACTACACCCAGCTACCAGCTCCCCTGCTCTGCACTCTCAGAAGTGTCCTGTGTCTTTTACCAGTGACTTCCCAGGGTTTTGACGTGTGATGGGCTTGGTTCCTGCTCTCTGCCTGGGCAAGCACTGACTTTTCTTTCTATCTTTCTGATTCTGACATTTAGCTGCTGTCAGCCACCTCTTGTTCTTTGTCCATATGGATTTATTTTCAATTACTGTACTTCTAATGGCGCTTAGAACGTGAAACCAAACCACATATTTAGCTTGTCATTTTAATCTGCCCATGGTAAAACCATATTCATCCTTCAAGCTTGCTGAGCTTGATTCATTATTTTATAATGAATAACCATTGTTAATTGTTCAGCAAACATGTCTCCCTTTTTATGGTCACCAATCCTGTCTTCTAGATTATAGGGTGAATGTATGATTCATACCGAACCCCAATCCCAATACCCCAAAGTAAATACCGGCAACAATTTTCTTATTTTCATACATATACGAAAATACTTATGCATATTGTGATTAAGCTACAATGACACTGAATTCAAAATTTTTTGTATGTGGTGCTGGGGATTGAATCCGAGAACTTCACACATGCTAATCAAGTACTCTGCAACAGTGTTACATTCCCAGGCTTGGATTTCCTTAGTATTATAAAAGAAATACTTTCCTGTATTATTAAAAGCATTATACACTTTTCATGTTCTTTTTATATTTTAAATCTTTTATCTATTATTTTTATTTTATGTGTATGAGTATATTTCCTACATGTGTGTAAGTGCATCCGTGCCCTGCAATGCTTGCAGAGGTTAGAAGAAGGTGTTAGACTCCCCTGGAACTGAAGTTACAGACGGTTGTTGGCCACCATGTGGGTGCTGGGAATTAAACCCAGGTCCCCTGCAAGAGCAGTCCATACTTTTAGCCACTGAGCCATCCCTCCAGCCCCCTTTTGTGTTCTTTCTACTGTTTGTTGCCATAGAAAATAGTGCAGCAGTGAACATCTTTCTAAAGTGATAGCTTTCATAAGTATTTTGGATTATTTCCCAAGGCTAGTTCTCAGAAATGTAATTACTAAATGAGAAGAAATAAAAATTTCAAGGTTCTTCATTTGTATTGGCAAACTGATTCCAAGAGGAGTTGTACCAATTTATATATTTACCAGCACAGAATGGGAGTGCCTATTTCAAAACACGCCCACCAACTTTGAGTACTGTCTTCTGAGTGCTTCTTTTGTAAATTGACTCATCTGTCTCTTAGAGCTGATGTTACAGAGGGACCCTTACACAAAGATACAGCCTGGGTTATTGAACAGCTCCTAGGCTAGTGCACATGTTTACGAGTTGTTCTGTA